TGTCTTCAGTGTGAATAAATAAAAGATGGCATATAACAAAGACGATTTTTTATACTTGTTTTATTTTCGAAAACTTACTAGGAACTTACAAAGTAATTCGTTTAATCCTGATAAGTACTTAGTAGGAACTTACAAGGATTAGCAGGAAATTCATAAATGTCATTTCACTAATAGGAAACTTAATAGGTTTAGCCGTATTAAGCGAAAACTTACCAGGATTAGCCGCAGTAGCAGGAACTTAACAGGATTAGCAGGAAGTTAGACATATTGCTAGTAGTATTAGCAGGTTTTTTTTTCTCGGGTAGTATTATAGAGTATTTGTATTAAAAGAGTACATTGAGCTATTTATTAATAATCTTTTGGTGGAGGAAATCAAAAAATTATTTTATAAAATGTAATTAGATATTTAATGGTAATTCAATGTAAAAAATTGTGTTTAAATAGTTTTCACTTCATTTTAAAAGTAAATTTATTTAAAGAGGTCAATACAAAATATTTTAGGAGATCTTTTTTTTTGTTTTGTTTTACTAACTGGTAGTCCTTTGATCAGGTTTTGCACTTTTTTTTAGCTTTTTTTTTGGCAGTAGTTTATACATTAGGAAATGTTGGTATATTCAAGCAAATCATTTATTGCCGTCATCCCCGGGGTGGCTAAAAGGTCATGTCCATCTCTACGTTTTTTTCTGCAAGGACCTTTTGTTTTAGAAATATAGGCAATTATTTTAGAAATTATGGATTTTATTTTAGAAACTGAGGGGTTGACCCCTTCTACTTTGAAGGCCGTGTCGACTTTATTAGCATAAGACTATTTAAATCACACTTTTAATAGAAAATCACTATTTTGGTATTATGGTAGCTGTACATGTAACGATAAAATAATTATAATAAAAATTGTTGGTATTACATTGTAGAACACTCATGTAACCGTTATTTTAAAAATAGTGACAGGAATTCAATGTAATCGGTAACGCTTTGAGGTAGAAGTAGCAAAAAACTAACAAAACTTCAACTAAAACTGCAATAAATCCTACACCAGCCATTCAATCAGACAGAAACTTTGCTCAGAGTTTGGTATGACTATTGGCTATATTTGCACTAATTTTTATCAAATTATATTGTGTAGTTCAAATTCTATAAGTGTTTTTATTGCTTTTATGAAGTCAAAATTTGACTTAACTTGAACATAAAAATTAAATTATGTTACCGCGGACAAAAATAAATGATTTCAAAATTTGCATCACAGTGTAACTTGATGTGTACGCTAACTTTCCGTATAAGTCGCGTTCTTGGGACAGCTAGGTAGGCATTATAAGGATCTGTTCTTACCGTGTTCTGATGATTTTTTGAAAGGCCTTTAGTGCCTAAAGTTTATTTAGTAAATTATATAAAAATGCTTTGTATTAGTGTATTTTTTGAAAAAGTATATATATTTTTAATATTTAAACATAGTATAATATAAACAGCAAATGTCGCAGCAAAGCATCAAATTTTAACAATATAAACAGCCAATATAATAACAATAAAATAAATCAAATATTATTATATTATATATCATAATATTAAATTATATAAATCATATATCATATATTAAATTGTATATATCCTATACCATTATATTATATATCATTATAATAAACCATATATCATTATATTAAATACCTTAAGTTCATTGTCAAAGAAACAATACCTAAAAAACGAACTTATCTCACTCATTACAGAAAAACAGAATTTAAAATACAGAAATTGTTCTAGTATATGGAAAAATTCAAATCTTTGTAACCGATATCAACAATTATCAAAAAGAGTGTCATTTTAAATTTCTATTGCAAGACAAAAATACGAATCAATGATTGTGGAAAAAGCTAAAAAGAACCCATTTATAAGTATTATATAAATATATGAATTCACAACAATATGTAAGAGACTATATGAAAGCTCTGCGACAACCAAACGGTGAAATAACCCAGGATCCAGAAAAGATTTTTGATCTTCTAAACATAAATTTTCATAACGTTTTGTCAAATAAAATAAAATGTACACTTCGTTATTCAAAACAAGAACCAATGATACTACTATCTTTAATTTAACTCCTGAAAATATCCAATATGAAGATATTCATGAAAGACTAAATAATCTTGATCAAAACAAAGCCTACGGAGTCGACTAGTTACAGCCTATCTATCCTTAAGGAACTCCACTATACACTTGGGCTAATGTGTATAGTGGAGTTCCTCAAGGATCTGTATTAGGTCCACTACTCTTCATACTTTATATAAATGATCTTTCTTAGTCATTAAAAAATATTTAAAAATTATATGCTGATGACACAAAAATCATTTCGATTAGTCTTTCTGATGAGTTACACAATAAACTACAATGTGATTTGAACTTTGCGTATACTTGGACACAAGATTGGTTACTTAATTTTAAAATTAACAAATGTTTAGTTATGCACTATGGCTATAAAAATAAAAGATACCCAATTTATATAAATGGTTATAAGCTCAACATATCAAATTCAAAAAAGGACCTAGGAGTGATTTTTCAGATAACTTGAAGTGGAAAAATCAAATCTTATGGAGTGCAAGCAAAGCAAACCGCATGTTAGGTATAAAAAAATTATTAGGTAATTTTATCTTCTTCTATTCAATTTTTATTGAGTTTATTGTTTTTATTGACACAATAAACACTTTTCATCTAAGTTTATTATTTTTAACCACATTTAATTAGTTTTATTTAATATTTGATGTATATATATATATATATATATATATATATATATATATATATATATATATATATATATATATATATATATATATATATATATATATACATTATTATTATAACTATTATTTTTATTATTATTATTTAACTGTACTTATAATGTTTTGAGTTGCAAATAAAAAGTTGTATGCAATTTTAAAAGCTTTTTTTAATAATCAATTATATTCCCTATATGTATTATTAGATAATGAATTTTCAAAGATTTCAGCAATTGTTAAAGAAATGGTAGCAACTGCAGATTATCTTGGATTGATGTGTGATGGATGGAGCAATTTAAGGTACAAAAACAACTTGTTATAATATTAGTTTATGCAATTGAAACTATATTATTTACTTAATAAACAGATCATATTTGTTTATATGCTTTTTTTTATTTACAGAAATTTTGGTGTAGTAACATGCATTTCCTTGAAACTACCAGTACGAACTAGGTAATGCAATTAAAAGCATAAATATACTGTACATTTCAAAAAAAGTTAAAATAAGTAATTATGTTTATTATGCGTTCATAAAAATAGATTTCATTTAGTAAATTACTTAAACCAAAATTTTTTTTGTGTGTTTCATTTAAAGGTAGGGATCAACTGTAGCATGCTTAGATAGCATATAGAAAAATAAGCAATCATTAAAAACATTGGCTATTTCTGAAAACAGTGGGCTTAATTCAGCAGCAAATAATATTCTTCTATCAGATTTTTTTGGGACAGGGTTGAAGGTTTTTTCAAATTGCTGTCACCAATAGCTGATGCAATAAAGAAAACTGAATCAAATACTCCCATAATATCTACTGTTGTGGAAACTTTTCCCTTCTTGAAAGATCAACTTTTTAAAAACTTAACAGTTAGCCCATTCTTAAAAAAGGAAGAAGAAAAAGCCAAATTTTGTTTAATAGAAATTTTCTTGGCAGTCAATATACTAGATCTTAAATTTCAAGGCAGAGTCTTGACTGGAGAACAAAAGCTATTTTCATACATAATTCATATATAATTCTTAAAACCAAATACAATTTTAGCCTTGTGCATTAAAAGTATAATTTTTGAAAAACTTTGAATTATTTTAAATACTGTTTTTAAGTTTAAAAATACTATTTAAAATAATAAAGTAATTATAAAATTATTAAAAGAAAAATCTTTTTATAGATTGAAGCATGTGAGGTGATACACAACATTGCTGCAAGTATGTCTAAAGTAAACAAAGAAGTTATGATATTTGACTTGGCTAATTACCAATCAAAAGGTGGCATATTTTCAAAATCCTTTATTTGAACTGCAGTTGGAATAACTCAACCTATAAATTGGTGGAAAGGGTTGTATTCCTTTACTGAATTATCAAAAGTTGCATTTAGAATTCTTCAGCTACCAGCTTCAAATGCAGCATGCAAGAGAAGTTTTAGCACTTATTCTAACATTCAAAGAGCGAAAAGAAATCGCTTAACGACTGAAAGAGCTGAAAAACTAGTTTTCATTTTACAAAATTTAAAACTTGAAAATATTGAAAACACTAGTTATGAAAATGGTATAAGAATAACTTCTCCTTAAATTATAAACCGAGTTTAAATAAAGTTCTAAGCACTTCAATGCCTTGGTCAGAGTCTGAAGCAATTTATATAGAAAGTGACAGTGATTTTGTTTATGAATCATTAGATGAAGGTAGTCTAGGGCAGGAAGACTCGGACTCAGAAAGCACATCTATTTAGAATATCTTTTATAGTTTAAATACATGTAAAAGTTACTAAATGATTGATTTTTTTGCTTAATTATTTATATTTTTATAATCTCTTTTTTCACTTAAAATGAACTCTGGTATTGTGGTTTAACATCCTCCGGCTAATTGCCATATAGAGAACACTTTACCAGAAGTCCGCAAAGACTAGTTGAGCTCCCGAGGGAGCGTCATACCCGCTCTGCGGACTGAGAGTAAGGTGAGTTTGGGAAAAACGAAGATATGTTATAATGAAAGATAAAAGTAGTCGAGTTAGAAAGATAGCATTGAGTAAGCGGATTATTAAAAGCAATAGTTAGGTTACCTACACTATTGTACACCGACAATTATTACTAATGTATACTAATGTTTGTAGAAAATATTACTAATGTGTGTGGTCCCCTAACTAATGTACGCTGACAGAGTGGTGATTAAAATTTACATTACATGAGCTTTTTCTCAACTTTCTTTGACGTCCAAGGGTCAAACAAAAAGTATCTTTTTATGTAGAAATTTGCTTCCTAACTACTTGCGGTTTTTTTTTTTATCATTCAAGTATAGTTGCCTAATTATAGAAAAATATTTCTATCTTTAAAACTGACTAATATTGCGCTTGTGGGTTTGTATCTTTTTGTTAACCTTTTTTTAATACTTACTATTTAAAAAATAATTAAATAAACTTGAAAAATATAACTTACAAAATAATTTAGTCTAATATTAAAAACACTTTACATATGTGGGAGGACAAGGGTGGCAATGCAAATGAAATATTTGTACGGTAATTGTAATGTTATTTTACTTTTTTATAAAAAAAATTTATCCTTTAAAAACATATAAATTCCGCTCCTTTAATCTAGGAGGCTTGATAAGCGCGAACTCGCTTAAGTGCAAACTAGCGTAAGCGCGAGGCGTTGCAAAAACAGGCACAAGTGCGAAGTGGCATAAGTGCGAAGTATAACAAGTTGCGTTATGCCAATATTTGCAACTTTACTCAGTGCACTTATGCAAGTTAGCACTTATCACATTTTGCACTGTTTCCAATTGCCAATGTTTCCATTTTCTTTTGGCTTACTTATGTCTATTCGCACTTATGCTAGTTCGCTCTTGTGCCAGTTTTTGTAACTTGAGCAGCCGTGGCGCAGTGGTTAGAGTTCTGGCTCAGAACTCAGAGGTCTGAGGTTCGATGCCAGCACTAGCCCAACAACGGAATTGGTACGAAAAGAGGCGTGAACTTCTTGTTAAATGCTCTCCCGCGGTGCTCTATGATAAGACCATTTTGCACTTATGCCAGTTCGTACCTATGATGATTCACATATATGTCAGTTTGTACTTACGCCAATCGCACTTATGGCAGATTGTACTTAAGAAATTTGCGCTTATTCAGTCTTCCCCTTTAATTAGGAAATACTCCGTTTCTTTAATAAGGATATAAAGCTCGATTTAATTTCATATGTCTTGACATTGCTAAATATCGTGACTCTCTGAAAAGACTAAAAAGAAGAAAGTAAAGTTAAGCAGCAACATTTGCTAAAAAATTTAATACTTTATAACTTTTTCTTTCACTTATATAACTTTTTTCATTGTCGCCCATGACGCTCTAAAAAAATAAACATATTATAGAGAAATTTACCTTTAAATTTAAAGTTTTTAAATTTAAAATAATATTAAAAAAAAAAAAAAAGTTTTATGGATAAAATATTTAAAAAAAATTTATGGAAAAAAAAGTTTTTTTTAGAGAAATTTACTTTTAAATTTTAAGTATTTAAATTTAAAATAATATTTAAAAAAAAAAAAAAAAAAAAGTTTTATGGGTAAAATATTTAAAAAATATTTATGGCAAAAAAGGTTTTTTTTAGAGAAATTTACTCTTAAATTTAAAGTATTTTAATTTAAAATAAAATTAAAATAAAAAAAAAAAAAGTTTTATGGATAAAATATTTAAAAAAGTTTTATGGCAAAAAAAGTTTTATGGATAAAATGTAGAAATGCAAAATTTAGAGATCAAGAATTTGAGGCAAAATATAAAAGTATAAAAAACACAACGAAAAAGGCTATTAACAATGAAATTGTTAAATATGAGCACACAATAGCAAAAAATGCTAAGAAGAATCCCAAAATAGTTTACCAATATATGAATAATAAAACTCAAACTAAAGATTATATTTGAGCTATTGAGAATAACAATGAAATAGTTACGACCAAACCTACGATTGGATGAAATTTCAATGAAACATTTATACACGTCATTGATTCGTCCACACCTGGAACTTGAGGTGCTGGTATGGAACCCTTACTACCAAAAGGATATTGATAAAATTAAAAAAATACAAGATAGGGCTACACGAATAAATAGTTTAAGAAGCTTTTGCTATGAAGATAGGCTGAAAAAATTTAACTTGACTACTTTAAATACAAGAAGAGAAAGAGGCGATTTGATTCAATTTTATAAAATAAGTAAAAATATGGATAAAGTTAAATGGAATCATCCTCCTAAAATAATTAAATATGCAATAACAAGAGATCATACTCAGAAAATACAAAAACAATTCACACATTCTACCACAAGACTCAACTTCTTAATACTTATAACTTCTTAAGATTTAACAGCTTAACTTTGTTTAATATTAATATAAAAATATACTACATCTGTAGAAGAACGCGGGTTGCAATGCAAATGAAATATTTTTCTTTATGTTATTTTACTTTTATATAAAAAAAAGTTATCTTTCAAAAGAAAAATATTCCGCTCCTTTAATCAGCAAATACTATATTTGTATAAATACTAATTAAATATACTTGATCAGCCGTGGCGCAGTGGTAGCGCACTTGCCTCAGAAACATAAGATCTGTGGTTCAAACCCCACCTCTGAGCGACATCGACTGAACCTTCTATTAAACGCTCTCCCGCGGTGCTCTGTGATAAGACCGTAAGGACTTCTTGGGGCACAATTTCTTTTGCCGATATGCATAATTTTGCATTATATAAAATATATCAAAAACATTTGCTAAAATTACAACTTTTTTGTACTAAAAAGTAGAAAATAAACTTTTTAATTTAAATTTATTAGTTGGGAAGGAGGCGTGAACCTCCTATTAAACGCTCTCCCGCGGTGCTCTGTGATAAGACCGTAAGGACTTCTTGGGGCACAATTTCTTTTGCCGATATGCATAATTTTGCATTATATAAAATATATCAAAAACATTTGCTAAAATTATAACTTTTTTGTACTAAAAAGTAGAAAATAAACTTTTTAATTTAAATTTATTAGTTCCGTAAACTAAAGATTGACAGGTATGTTTCTAAATAAACATTGCGCAGACCTGTCAATCTTTAGTTTACGGAACTATTAAATTTAAATTAAAAAGTTTATTTTCTACTTTTTAGTGCAAAAAGATTATATTGTAAGCAAATGTTTTTGCTATATTTTATTTTTTATTGTGTATGTACTACACAGTGCTGCACTACTTAGCACTGAATTATTAACCAATTAAAACTAATAAAACATTATTCAAAAATATATTAGAATTTCATGTAAATTAATTATAAAGTTGGAGCTTTTTTTATAAGGGCTTACTGGCAATAAAATTCAACATATGTAACAAACAATGTAAGACCAATGTAAGTTTTTTATTAAAACATTAATTTTAAATTGGTGTTTATACATTGTATTGGTGGTTATAATGATCTCATATACTATAAATAAATAGAATAAAACAAAATTTATTCCAAATTATTTACCAAGAAAAATAAAAAACTTGTTTAAAAAGTCAAAAAAACCAAAAATACACCAAAAAAATACGTTTTTTAGACCCAAAAAAACGCAAGAGGAAAAGAAAGAGTTTTTTTGCAACTCTAATAATGTATATATATACATACATAATAAAAATAAAATAAACAGTATTATATATATATAAACATATACAAACATTCATACTTATATCGTACACATGTGACATATGTATATGATTTCATCAACTATAAGTCTCATTATCGCAACTGTTGACATCGTTTAAATGGTCATTATCGTCATCATCATCGGTGTCGTCATCATCGTCGTTATCATCACCATCATCATTATCCTCATAATCAAAAAGGTAAAGTTGGCGTAGCATGTCCATTATCTCATCCTGATTTTCATAATCCTCAACATTTCTTATACTATTAGACATAGCACCATAACATTTAACTTTGCGCTCTACTAATTTATATTCATCTTTAATAACTTCTTTTAGAAACTCTTGTATGAAATCTTCCTTTAATAAAGCATAGCTGATCGAAGTTGGACCGTATTTTAAATCGTAGATCCTTGGATCAGCTTTAAATCTAAGTAGTACTTTCACCATTTCCATATTTTTTTCAAAAACAGCAAATGTCAGCAACATCGATGCTACATAAATTTGAGAAACTCTAGATCTAACAGATGTAGAATTTTGTAAGGCTAAAGCATTTATAAACTTGACTTGTTCATCATAAATTTTGCCTTTAAAATCGTCATACTGATTCTTGAAAATTTCTATACTTAACATTCTCTTTATATCTTCAAGGTGATCTTTTCTCATTAGTGGTGCGTTATTAAGATCGGCATGATCAATAATTAATTTCTGTATTTTATCTACATTGGTTTCTGCTTCAGCAAGCCATAGTTCAATACCTTTATCGTCTGTTCCTGTCAGATCAGCTAATTTTTTATAAAAAAAATTTAGTTTACCTTTATCATTCGAGAAAAACATCAAAACTAATTTACATTCTTCTATTTCGTCTTCTATTGTCATTTTGTTTTTAATATCGATTTTTACAGTTTTTTTAATTATTTTAAGTTGTTTGTTAATTACATTTTCTAATTCGTCGATAGTTACAGCTACTTTTTTCAAATCATGGAGATCATAATTTATTAATTTCATTACTTTTGAAGTAGCATCCTTTATTGAATTATTTCGATCGTGATCTGTAGGACATTCTTTCAACGCAAATTCCAAAACTTTACTAATATTTATTTTTGAGTTTAAAGAGTAGTTTTCAGCAATTAATGACATTAAAGTGTTCAAAATAATTTGTTCACTATTTGTAAAAAAATTTTTGGATTTTACCATTGATGAAGATTTTGCAACTATAAAGAATAGAAAACTATATGATTGAAAAAAAAAAATTAAGTAAAACCTAATTTAAACCATCGATTATTTTATTTTATTAAAATTTTCATTCTTTCATGTTGTATAAACTTGATTGAATACTATTTACAGAATAGAACATGTAAAACAAGAATAGATTTAATTAATAGTTCCATCCTTACCAAGCTCTTATTAGTATCATGCTAAACTAGTAACTTTGGAAAACTGCTCTGCTTATTAAGGTTTGTGTTTTGAAGAGAAAACAAGCATTAGTTGAAAAGAAAAAAGAGTAGCCTCTTTTCCGGTAATACTCCTATGTATGAAACGATATATATATATATATATATATATATATATATATATATATATATATATATATATATATATATATATATAAATATAT